CTTTCCCTTCAAATGTGACACTGAAAGGCTTTGGATAATATAGAATAAATAAAGGCTTTGCACACAATGGCTAAAGCTTATTACACCGAAGAAGAACCTACAGTGACATAGCCCTGCTCATTACCTTTATCAAAATATTTCACATTGAATCTGCTTCCAGCAACATTACACTATCTAATAGTCCACACTACATCCCAAAAACTTCCCAGAGGGCTGAATGTGCATCTTTCCAACAACAATCATCATTATTCAGAAATTACCCACATGTACAATGTCTTGCAATATATTTTATACCTGACTTGGGGGTACAATCACACACTTTAAAGTTAAATTTCTGAAAATTAATCCAATTCATCAGCAGTAAAGGGTAGATCAGATAAAAAGCTTGAAGCAGTTTGTTTATAATTTGATATTTTAGCTGGAATTAGAGAGGTAAGAATGTGTTAACCATGTCCAAAAGCTATGGCAAGCACAAAATGACACTACAGTGATAGGATCCAGGATGGTGGTTTTTATCATTTCTTTATGTGTTTTCTTCTTTAATGCCACAAACTAGGCCTAGTGGGTACTGTACTCAGCTACTGTGATTGAAAAACTCAGTTGTTATTGTTCAAAGTGGCATCACACACACACACACACACAGACAAACACATATCCTCCAGTTGTGTCATAGTGCAGTCCTGGAGTCTTTAGAGTTTTTTTTTTTTTGTAACTTTACTAAATTTGACTAATGTCTAGATCCAAACAGAGGTCTTTCCATTTTTTACAATGGTTCCAGCCTTCTCTGTGGCTGATTTTGGCCTTGCTCCTTGTTTCTCCTGGACTGTATTGACTCGATTTTGCTCTGCCATAGTGCCCCCAGACACAGGACTACTGGTTCTGGAGGTTTGCTGGTTGTTTTTGGTTTGATAAGTTTGAAAGGCCATATCGAGCTGCTTTTGGGCAACCCGTAGGTGATGGTGCAAGCTTGCCAAATCAGAAGGGATGTTCTCATCTGGGCTGGTGCACTGCTGCTCCTGGGCAACATTGGTCATGTTCAGCTCGTGGCTCATGAGGCTTCTGGGGATCCTGCTAGGTTTGTCGGTCTTCATCACAAGGTTGTAGCCTGGAGGAGAAGCCGGGATGTTGCGAGAAAAAGGGAAACTGTAGGATGTCCTTTGGCCTCGGTTCCTCTTCATGCGAAGGGTATCCTGTAAAGTGCCAACTCCCAAGTGAAGCATCTCACACACATTTAGCACCAGACAAAGACAGCTAACCACATACATGATGAGGAGGAAGATTGTTTTCTCTGTGGGCCTAGAGATGAAACAGTCTACTCTGTGTGGACAGGGAACCCTGTTGCATACATATGAAGGACTAACTCGAAAACCATAAAGAAGATACTGTCCTGCAAGGAAGGCGATTTCAAAAATAGCTCGTGACATGAGTTGAAGAACATAGATTTTCATCAGTCCTTCTTGCATAATTTTTCTCCGGCCATCGTGTTTTGCTGGGTTTTTACTAGTGCTGCTTACCAGTTGAGGCTCGGGCTCCTGCACCTCCAGTGTATCCTCCAAAATCATGGGCTCAGCATCATCAACTTCCACCTCCTCTAAAACATCTTCCAGATGGTGGCTTTCTCTCCATCTCGAGTTAGGAGGTGGCTTTTTATGAAGCCTTTGGTGCTTCCTGCGCTCCTCCTCTGCTGTTCTGGCTATCTTATGGATGGCGTAACCCATGTACATAATAGAAGGAGTGGATATCATAATGATCTGGAAGACCCAGAAGCGTACGTGCGAGAGTGGAGCAAAGGCATCGTAGCACACGTTGTCACAACCTGGCTGCTTGGTGTTGCAGGTGAACTTGGTCTGCTCATCTGAGTAGATGGACTCACCTCCGACTGCTGTGAGCACAATGCGGAAGATGATGAGCACAGTCAGCCACACTTTCCCCACGAAGGTAGAGTGGTTGTGGATCTCTTCCAGGAGACGAGTGAGAAAGCTCCAGCTCATGTTGCTCTTACAAGCTTTTCAACTAGAACCTGTGAAGAAAGAAAAATAATCGATTAAGATGCAAGTAGGGACCTAATCATTAAATTGGTTTGAGCTGAAAGTTTTGATTGGCTGATGAATGATTTCAATAGACTGTAGGTGTATATGTATCTTCTTATTGATTTATTCCTAATATCAAATGCCTGTGCTGTTTTTGTGGTTGTCTAACCAAAGCAAATTCAGACTAGAGCAGCAACCAACAATTTTCATTATTGGTTAGCCTGATGATTATTTTGTTGTCTATAAAATTTTCAAAAATATTGAAAGTCACAGTTTCTAATACCACCCGAGTGACATGTTCACGTCTTTTTTTTTTTTTTTTTTTTTTTTTTTTTTTTTAAACAACAGTTGGCCATCTCTTCTTTTTCACTGTTTGATATTCAGTTTACTATCAGAGAATAACTATTAAAAACAGCAAATATTTACATTTGACCAGCTGGAACCAGATATTTTTCTCATTTCTGTTTGAAAATTACTTCAGTGAGTAATTTTTTCCTGATTTATCTGATTAATCTGTTAATCATTTCAGATCAAATTCAGTGTAAACCTATAGTCACAATGTGACTATAGGTTTTTAAGCAGCCAAAGATGTAAACATAGTCACAGCATAGTTCTTAGGTTCAATTTGAAATGAATGATTCATATACAGATAACCTTGCATAGATGCTGTTATTTTGTTACTTATCAAACATTGCCTACATAGTAGTTCTTCTTGATGTAGTGGAGACACCCATTTTCATTTGATTGCACAGATATCATTCAGTCACCCTATCCCAAAAACAGGCCGCACAGCATTTCCAATAATTCATTCAAACATACTGAAATCATTTGTAAGGAGGTAGAAATGGCAAAAATAACAAAAGGAAGAAGAACATGAAATAGAAAAAAATGCACCATGCACAAACGCAAGATTACAATGACCATTACAAGAGGGGGGCAGATCAAAAACAGAAAATGACGCTGACAAAGGTAATGTATGAAAAGTCCATTCTGATACCAGCGTCTGCTCCACTCAGAGTGCCAGAAACATACTCGATGCTTTAATGCTTGATTCCAAGGGACAGCGAAAAAAGATGACCTCATAGTCTCATACTCTCCTACATTCAGAGTGACAGCTGAGGCTGAGGTGAATAAAGCTGTAATAAGGAGACAGCGTAGTACTTCAGCCCCTTCATTCATGGGGCAGAGCTGCGGAGTTCATGTTGATCTCATGACTGTGACACTGTGTTCCCTGGTGTGGGATGTGCCATCTCCCCTGCCATCTGAGTGAATAGGACAGGCTTGTTGCTCTGCCACAAGGCCTCCCCTCTGGATCCATTGCTGCTGACAATGGGGAGGGGGACAGCCATGGAGGACAGATGGCAGCTAAGGTGGGCAATGCATGTCTGCCCTAGGATGGAATGACACAAGGACTGCTTCATTGAGGATTTACACTGAAGTTTGAATGGATCTGTTTTGTATCACAGAAACAACCTTTTTCTTACAACAACTACTAATGTTTAAGTGACCTTGCGATATCTGCATGCTGCTGATGTGTTTTGCAAAGTGTCAGTTTTGGACTACATAAAGCTTAAGATCATAGTTTTGGTTCATACATTTTTCTAAAATGTGTGTTGACATAGAAAGCAGCTTATTCCAAGTAGAAAACATTTTTCACTAATAATCTTTTTAAAATAAGAAGAAAAAACCATTAGTACTCTAGGGATTTAAGTATTAGCTACAAAGGTAGGTACAGAAAACATTCTTTATTTAATGTTATTTTTAAATTCTTTAAAATAGAGCCACTTTTTAATAAAAGTGTATTAGAAGTGTATGGTCACACTGTAGAGTAATAATATTTTAGCACACTTCAATAAATAAACAGTTAAGAACATGCTGTAATACTAAGACATATTTAATTGTGAGATTAGGTATTTTAAAATGAATACTGGTGCAGACCTAATATATTTTACATTCTTAAACTTGCATCCTATTGTTGGATGAAAATTCAATAATAGCTTCTTACACTGGCTCAATTATTTTGCTTTTATCAATTATTAATATTTCCAAGACTGCTGCAGTGCCATGAAATCTGCTCTTAGCACAGTTTATTCAGACAGGGGACCTTACATTTTGTCTGACACATATACTCTACAATGATATGACAGGATAGCTAAACAGAAACTGTCATACAGTTCCTTTAGAGGAAAGTTAATAACTGAAACAACCCACCTGGAAAAGCTGCACATGCATTTCCCATCCTGAAGGTCTCCTGTGCCCTCTCTAGTTATTCCATGCACAGTCTGATCCACAGAATATCATCTTCCATCTTAATGTCCAGGACTTTTCTGACTTTTTGATAACTTCCAAAATGGGGGAAAAGTGAGACAAGAACAAGAAACATTGACAAAACTAATTAGACAAGGCTTTCTATATCCTGTTTTTCCACTCTGTGAAGAAGTGAGGTCTCTTCGTTGTGAATGACTCACATTCTGGCTTGTGTCTGGTTTCTATTACACCAGCCTTCTGCCCAAGAAGGAAGTATAAAAAACAGAGAGGCAGAAAAAAATCCTCCTCTGGCAAGTGACCCTCATCCAAAGGTTCAGACGTGAAGATATTGTACTGCAGATTGAAATGAACACACAGCTGAGAGATCATATTAATCGCAACAAAGTCAACAACCCCCTCATGCGCAGCATTTGTAACACAGATGATGAGGAGCTCTCTGTCTCTCTCTTTTCCTTTTTCTCCCTCTGTGTTCAGTGGTTGACTGAGAAAAATGTTGACATGTAGGGTGGTGGCATGCTTCATACATATTTGTAAAAATGCATAAGATCATTTAAAACATCCACACTTCTTGCCCTCGCTCTCCCTCTTTCACACACACTGTCACAAACACATTCAGACAAACACATACATCAACCACAATAAATGCAGATTAGTAACCTCTATATTATCTGTCAATTACATAACTGTTTACAGTGGTTGACAGTTAAGCAAAAACAACTTTGGGGAAACAGAGACAGGGAGTTTGAGGACAGAAGTGTCACAAGAGACATAAGCCACCTTGCCTCCACGCAGATCCGATACAATGTAACTAGCAGGTATACTCAATCATATCAAGTGTCAAAATATTTAAACTTCCATCCAGGCAGATGGCCAGATAACAGAGCAGTGGATAGGTTGCACTCTGTTCACCTACTGCGTGTCTTTTCCAACTTGATGTTTATGCTTCATGCTTTTGCCTTGGGCTGTGCAGCGCAGCAGCACGTGTTGTTACTAAGGCATGTGATACATTTTTTTTACATGACAGAAGTCTCTCTCTTTCTCCTTCACACACACTTCATTACAACTTTTTTTTTTAAGAAATGTCATGAAAAAATACAAATGAGAAGGGGATTTGTGTAAGATTAAAGGTGGAAAGGATTTTCTCTTTCACTTTATTCTATGTGCCAGACCTTGCCGTCAAGTTTTGGAAGGGATTTAAACTCACTTACTTTTATTGGAGGACAGATAAACGGGTTAGTGTCTGGCTTGCATTAGTGAAATGTGTCTGGTCATTGTCACAGTGACCATATTATTGTAATGTTATGTTCACAAAGCCCTCAATAACCCTTAATTATGACCAGTATACAGCCATAAAGTGAAGAATAACGTTCAGCAGCATCAGAAAATTCACCATCAATCTCATCACAATTTCTACCCAGCTACTTAAGTGATGGTGACAAATTCTTTTCTCCCTAATTTTTAATACATTTTATGTATATTATGGGTTGTAACAGAGCAAAGACCACTGCAGCAAAACATATCAAAGGGAGATAATACAAGCAAATTTGAAGTATCTCATTCTGTTTGATAGTTTGTGGTTTAAAGAAAACTGAAAGCTAGGCATCTGAGCCTGCTGGACCCATCCTCCAGAGTACTCGCCTTTAAGGCTTCCCTGTCCATCTCACTGACGAGATGTAGTGTAGCGAGCACCCCTGGTGCAGCACTGAGGAGAAGAAGACGGGGGGTTGCTGCTGGAATGACTGGTGCATTTAGGGCTTGGACATGTGCTATCCCCAAGGGACAGATAGGCACATGCTTATGTATTCCTCTCTACAGTTATTACAATTACAATTATTTTATTCTAACTATTAAACAAAATGGGCATATGAAATTTTTGTCCATAATTACACTTAATAAAGACCGTCAATTTCAGTATTGTTTATTAACATTTATGTGAATACTGTAATTGTGGCAAATATGTAATTACAAAACACTTTTAAAATCAATTATTCAATTCATTAATTAGTCTGAGACTGCACTAAAATATCTGAAGCAAAAACATACATGCACAAACACACAGAGTCAAATCAGTGATGCTGTCCTCGTGCCCTAGGACATTTCAGGCTATTCTAGCTTTGGGAAGCTGTTCATGTTGATAAATATTGATTGGACCACCCAGAGGCAGGAAAATATTACAGTTGTCCCCTGTAAGACAATGTTTGACATTGCTCTTGTTACAAGGGCTGACATCATGTGACAGCCAAACGAGAGTGTTTAATATTCATTAATTTATATTTAGTGTTAAATGTAAAATGTAGATGGTTCTTTTTTTTTTTCAACGTTGGTAGCATCTATGGGATATGAACAACTTTAAAAAAATCTAATCTGACAGCTGAGAAATGAACACACTGGCACATTTAATGCATTTATTAAGAAGAAGAAGAAGACGAAGAAGCTTTATTTTATTGTCATTGTAACATTGTGACATGTACACCGAAATTTTGTTTGGAGCCGAGAGCCCTGGGCTGCTGCAGAATTAGTGTAGAAGCAATGTCTTTGTTTATTCTGTAATTGCAGAAATATTTTAAGAGAATTATTTTATTTAGTTCCAGACAGTTTCACCCTTAAGAAGTCATTGGGAGCTGTGAGGGTTTGTAGCATAGCCAAGTGTTGGAGTGATGCAACATGGAGGGGTGAGCGTCTCAACGGGTCTCCTTGGCCGCCACCAATGTCATCACAAGAGTTTTATCCACATGTATTTACAGAACAAAGTTGATGCAAGCAGATTGGGGGCTGTGGAGGTCTGTGTTTATGTAACAGGTCAAGAACCACAATGTGACTTAGATGCCCCTCCCCCCCAAACAAAAAATAAGAGTGATACAAGAGCAAAAACATGCACCACTATCACTAAACTGCTCTAACTATCCCATAGGCACCCTGAGAGTGGTGGCAGTCTCGTCTCGTTTGTTCATGTTTCTCCCAGTTTCTCAGCTGAGTCTATCCTACCCCCGAGGCCAGTGCGTCCCGTGTCAGTTTCACTAAGGCTGGACTCCACTGAAGCGACTGAGATGAACATCCTTGAGGTGCATGCCAACAGCTTCCGTCAGCTAGGGCTCTTCCACATATGAGCAAAGCAACTTGCAGTTAATATGCACTACACTGTTTTAATAGCAAAGATTTGCCACTAAAATCTCTTAATAAAAAAACACTGCTTTATGTTTGCTACTGGATTGACTTATGGATAAGGTATCATGTACTTATAAATCATCTCATCTTATATTTATAGATTTATAAGTAGGAGGAAAATGCTTTTAAAATCAGAAAATAATAAAGTAATACATTAGCATTGTGCCACCTATTAAAGTTTCCTGACAAAATTAACCCTCTGATATGGCTTTTTCCCATTTGTCATCATTTTGCCAGTTATATATTTTAACAATAAAGACTGAAAAGTTTGCAAAGCAATGGTTTTGTTCAGCAGTGCATTGAGGTGACATGATACAGTGAGGCCACATCATGTTTGGCCTTTGTCAGAACTAACTTCCCATAATTTTCTGTTTTTTTTTCTATTACTAGACTTTGATGTATTCCCCTTGCTGATAGGATTTCAGTTGTTGAATTTTTAAAGTGCAGCCAGTGTCCTCATTCTGAATAAACACAATCAAGCGATAATAGTGTCTGAAACTAGAATGTGGTGAAACAGCACTTTGACCATCATGTGGGCAAACAAAATTAAGACAATACACCATAATTGATCAGTGATAATCTAGTGAATTAGTACAATCTGTTCACAAGATTTACATCTTCTTAATTGTTTTCTTTGCAGTCATTATTTTTACACTCACTATCTGATTAAATTTTCCATTAGAACAGTAAAATCCAACACAGTACTCATCCAAAAAACAAAATAACAGGGCTTTACTTGCAGGGCTTAAAGATCTAATCTTTGGCATTATTTTGTCTTGGCTGGCCATGTCATAGCCTGATCTGAGAAAACCCCAGAGGAGCAGCAGACCTAGTCACGGTCATTTGCACTAACTGAGATAAGTTTACTGCCTTAGTGCCATCGCCCTGCTTCAACTCAGTGAACTCCAGACACTGGTAGCAATGCTGCAGGACCCCCAGTTATAACAGCTATACGCCCTCTCTCTTTGACATACATGTATGCAGCAAAAGCTCAGATCAAAACTGTGCACATCCATGTACCATGTAGTGTACTAGTTAATACATTTAAAGCAAACTTCTAAAGCTTAGCTATTAAGGCAGTGATAAGAAAAGGGCATCGTCTGAGCAAAAGGCACAAGCTAGTAACAAATCAGGCAAAATATTAACCTTCAAGGTCATTTAATGATTTTACAATTAATCTTCAAGGTCACTGAATGATTTTGCAATAACTGTATAACAGCTGATGTAAACGACCAGCTCGATTTTTGTCACTGATCTGTTCAATGAATGACACTGGGA